CCCCCCCCCAAAAAAAAACCAAACCCAAACTAAAAAGGCAATTGTGAGCTGTCATCTAAACTCTTAGATTGTTTGGATGTTCTCAAGAGAATTCTCTCATGGAAGTCCAGAAGGTCTGAGGGAAGCTGAAGGGAATTATCATTTAATACCAACAGCCTGTCTAGAAGACATCAAGATTGTGCCTTTTCTCGAAAGAGGCATTTTAGAACATCAAATCACAAAGTAAAGGTCATGCAACGCTACAGACTGAGGCCTTCTGGTGCGCAGTGTCAACCTCAGGGGGTACCTAGATCCTGCACATGCATTTCAGCTGACCTACAAAGCTGTGTCCATACCCTACTCCATGACCTGCCAAGTCAACTCTGTGGAAAGCAAGTAGGGGGATACCAAACCAGCATGCACCAAGTGAGCGAGACCACCAGATTCAGCCTCCAAGTGCCAAGCAGGCTCTGGCTCAAGCAGTGTAGGGGAAGCAAGCTCCTGCCCTCTCCTTCCCATGCAAGTCAGAGTAAGTTTCCCAGAAAGGGACCAAACCATTTTTTATTTTTTTTTTAAACTAAATGCTTTTAATAGAAAACAAAATACAAAATAACTCTTTCCAGAAAGCAGAAATATTTAATCTCTCCAAATGACAAACTAGAACGTGCTTTTTCTGCAGATCCTTGTTGTGAATGCTGATGATTTATCTCACGAAGTGTTCATGAAACTGATATTGCAACATTTTGAGAAAAATCCAACACTGGCAGAGCTGCCTCTGTGTACGCACAATAATTTAGTAATACTATTTTTTCCCATGTCACTTTGTGTGTCTCTCTCTCCCCGTCCCCCTCTCCCTAGACTGCCAACTTCCATTTACGGAAATAGTTCTGTGAGGTGCAGTGGTGGATTGACATGCCCTGTTTCCACGAGGAGTCCAAACTCAGCCGCTTCAGTTCTATTGTGCCCTCCCTCCAGACAAGGCAAGTCGTTTATTACCCTTAAAGCCACCGCACTACCCCCACTGTCCTCCCATCCTCAAAACACAGTGCAACCAGATTCAGAAAGATTCCTAATTAATGGAACATAAATACAAATATCACAGCTAGTACCAGGAACCAAACCCAAACGACAATGCAGAGATGGGCTCCAACTGAGGTCAGATTTCCATCCCCTTACTAAAAAGAAAGATAGTATTTTCTACTTAGCTAGTCCAAAATACTCCAGAAGTGCTATAGGGAGCTGTAATATTTAGGACCACTATCACTGTAGAAAATACATAATGTTCTTTTAATAGAAGGGTCTTAAAATGCTGGTCCTCTGCAATACCAGGAAAACAAAAGCAAAACAAAACAAAAAACACTGGGCCAGTAGTTCTCCACACACTCAAGCCTCAGTTAACAGTAGGTAAGATGTGCCCATCGATCAATACAGGATATTTAAGTGCAGGTCAGCAGCTTATCTGGTTGGCAGTTTCACTTGTCTGGACCGGGCTTTTGGTTTCCCCAAGCTACTGGATTTCCTCCCCTTTTCCCCATCCCTACAAGTACAAGATTAGAATGTATATGTACTTTCATCACTCCTCCTTTTTTCCTTATTACGTTCAACAGCACAGGCCTTTTTGTGGGCAAGATGTTTTAAAGCATTTGCATCACTCTCAACATGCCTTTCAAGGGGGCAGAGGAAGAAAAGTGTTTCACAGTCAGTAATCTCAGCTTGCAATGGACTCTGGCATTCAATACACCCACCCACTTCCCTAAGAAAAAAAAAATTAATGTTCCTGATTTTCTTGTGCAATTCCAGTCACTAGAAGAAGATTACAGGCCATAAACTGTACGCTCAGTACATTATTCATTTGTCCGGTATATACACCAACCAGTTCACTGGAAGACCCATCTGCAGGGGCGTTGCAGTAAGTGTTCCGAATGTCCCAGACCCGGACTGAATTGTCCATCGATGCTGAAGCAATTAAACTACTGTCGGGGCTAAAAGTAAGGCTGGTTATGTTGTCTGTGTGCCCCCTCAGTTCTTTGTAAAGAGTTCCTGACGCCAAGTCCCACAGCTTTAGCCGCTGGTCTTCACCTGCTGATGCCAGGTACTTACCATTGGGAGAAAACGCAAGCGCTAGCACGGGGCCACGGTGCCCGGTGAAAAGACGCACTGAGTTGCCTTGCTGAGTGCTCCACAAGCGCACTGTTTTGTCCGTGGAGCCTGTCGCTAAGTAGTTGGAATTGGGGTGGAACTTGACACAGTCTACGTCTGCCAAATGGCCTGCGTATATTCGCAGTGGATACGTCCGATCAAATGACCAGAGCCTTGCAGTGCGATCGTGGGAACCACTGGCAAAGTACAGGCTGCATGGGCTAATATCCAAATCCCAGACAGGATAGGCATGTCCTTGGTACAACACAGTGTTTGTAAAACTTCCGAGGTCCCAGTATCTGATGGACATGTCCTCAGAACAAGATAAGAGTCCCGAACTGTCTGAAAGGAACCTCGTGCTATACACAGGTCCACAGTGTCCTCTCAGGATCTTCATTTCTGTGCCTGCGCTGTCATCCTCTTCCTCCTGGTCAGGGAGGAGAAAGAGAAACAAAAAAGGAAAGCATGTTTATCTGTTCAACAAATACAGGAACCGCCATGAGGAAAACAGGTGGGTGTTAATACAGAAGAAGTTATTTTAGATGTGGCATTTTGTGCAAGTCAGACACAAACATCGCTAGCGCATTTGCTGCATCTAAGTTAATGCTGAAAGAGATGGCGAGATAAGACTTTATATAAAGGTTTTATCTTCATTTTGGGTAGCCTCATGCTCACTCCAGAAGGCACCTTAACCTGGGACTGTATGCAAATAGGGAAAAAAAAAAGTATTTTATGACATTTTTCCACTTGCTAAAAAACATATGCTTATTCCCTGTCCGCTCTCTACTAAGCTTCTGGCTAAGATGTTGGAGCAGATCTTGGCATCTGCTGTTTTGGTGTGGTCATTATTGGAAGTGAATCTCACAGTAGAGAAAAAGAAACACAGATGTCTTAAACAAAAGGCAGGAGTTGGAAAAACAAAGCATATTTGACAAGCTGTCTGCTGGACATTCCTTCTTAGCCCCACACGTGAACAGAAACCCAGCAAGGCCATTTTTCTCCATTCAAGCTTTATCAGGATGCTTTTATATCCTCACCCTTCAAGAGCAGCAAATATATGCAGCTTATTTAGGTCAAACAATCTATTTTGGGGTAGGAGAAGATGAATAATCACAAAAAGGATGGTGCTGGAAACCTTTTTATCCTGTAATTCTCCAATTCAAGTACCAGATAGTCAACAAGTAAAGGCTTTCACGTTTAAAGACTTCAGTGAGCTGTGCTGAAGGAATCTCCCAATGGAGGGTAAGAGTCTCTGGAAGTCTACTCAGGTAGCACCTCTCGACACTCAAAGGCTACAGACTGCACAAGTTTCAACAAATCTCAACTCAAGAGAGTGTCCTTGCCTGACAAGCGGTGGTCTCACCAACAGAGTGCAGGATAACCATGGCTTGGGGTGCACCGGTGCAGTAGCTCAAGACCACCCCTCCTCAGGGCTGTCAAGCAGGCACTCTTCCTCAGTACTGAAACGGTAACGCTCACCCGCTGACAGTCTCTGCACATCACATTCAACCCAACGCCCTTTTGTTTGTGAGCAGCCCCTTTAACTGTCATCATCGCCAACGGGCCCGTTTCCTGCCGAAGGAGCCCTTCCTGCCCCGAGAGGAAACCCAGCTCCCCAGGGCTGCCGGACTGCTGCCGACCAGCAGAAGTCAGCGCGTCGTGAGCGGCTCTCTTGGCTGACACGATATCCCCCATCCCTCTGACCTCAGGGCCCACGGACAGTTTTGCTTCAGACTTAACCATAGTCCTGAAAGCCCTTCTCCTCCGGTGGCTTCAAATCTCACAGCGGCGGTGAGCAAACCCTGGCTTAGCTAGCTCGCTGCCTTTCTCCATCTCGGCTGCATGTTTAGTGGTAGGCAGCAAGCCGTGTTTAGCAATGCTAATTCTCTTCAGAGTAGTCAGTGCCCATGGGAGTTTTATGATGTGGCTGGGAGCCAACTTCATCTCTGCTGTGGAGGTGAGGCAGAAAGAAATTGCAGGCTCTAGCATGCAAAGCCCCATTCTTATTCAAATTGCTTTTTCTACCTCAGATAGAGCATTGCTTGCTGGAATCCACAGCATCTCTTGGCTATGCTACCACATTAAAGGAGAGAGGCTGATACCTGCAGCATTTTATACTATTTAATTATGACCATAAGATTTGTGACAAGTTACCAGTGGAAGCCCATTCAATTTACCTATATTGTACTATAGTTTCTGTAAATTCTGCAAGTCCAGGTACTTAATTTTATGCCTTTAAATTCACACAGGGCTACTTGGGCTGTCTGCAAGCACATACTCTTTCTCTCTTACAAGCACCTACTCTGCTTCTCTTGTAATACAGTAGCAGCTTATTAAGACAATGCCTTCTGTGGCATTCAAAACCACACTCCTATATGGTCATAGGTAGCAAATCTTATCTTTGACTTCTGTTTGACACCCACTTAGTGTTAACAACTGCACACTGCTGTTATAGTTCACCGAAAACGGTATACCTGTAATGCTTCTGAGTGACTACATTTTCCGTTTCCTCCCTATCCAAGTTAGCCTGCTGACCAGACTAGCAAAGCAGCTGGAAGTGCAGCCACTAAATTACTGCCTTGCAGAGCCAAGCGTCATTTCTTTGTCAGATCAAGCACACTCTTCCTTGCATCCCACAGCTACTACCATGTAGGTGAGCATTTAAAGCAGCTATAGAAAGGTTGCAACCTGTGTTATAAACCAGCAGGGAGGCAGGGAGTCCCTCTTCCTAATATTTTTTCAGGATTCCAATTTCACACACTGAATATGCTTCCTGAATATAACATACCACTGGGCACTACCCAGATATCCATTAGCTCCTTCTGAAGTGGTTGCTGCTGCAGGTTAGCATGAACGATTTGCATTTCCTTGGAATGCACAAGAAATTAAGTTATATAAGCCTATTTTAATCAATAACCTACACACACACTAAAAGCTACCTTTTATTATTTGTACTCTCCATTTTGAAAATTACTACTACCAAAACAGATTTTAAGCAATAGGATAGAACTGGAAAAGCTACCAACACTACTAAAATGAGCTAAAAAAAAATAATTTACTCTTCAACAGTGAAGAGGAAATCTTCCTGAGCAAGTACAAGACTCCCAAAAATTATATTATGAAGAAACCGAAAAGAACAAAAATGTTGGCATGTTTTGTTACACAGGACACCTTCCAACTGATACACCTACGGACAGATTGCCCAACTCCTCAGCTATTACTTAAATCAGTAATGGCTTTTGCATGACAGTCATCTGGACCCAGAAAAATTTACTGCCGATGCATTTAACCTTGTAAGCAGCAAATATTATCTAGCTGACAAAAATCACCTTGATCTTCCACTCAGCATAAGCCACAAGGGAATGAGTGAGCCTGAAAAAGCAACCACGATAACCTAAAAAAAAAAAACCCAAACAAAAAAACCATCTCACCCTGCCCCCCCCGCCTTTTTTTTTTTTCCTCTAACTAGTAACAGGTTTCCCTAGGTGTCATCTTCTCTTTCATCCTGCAGTGCTCTTAAGATGTCAAAAGGGAAGATACCTTACCTGCCTACTGTAGGGGTTTCCTAGCAGGGAAAGATGAGGGAGTAGATACTAGGGCTCTCTTTGCAGGACATTTCTTACTGCTCCTTCCAGAATTCCCTCTCATCTGCCATCCACCAAGAAGTCAGCATCATCCACGCTCACTACCACTTGAAGGACCACTGCCACTTAAAAGCAGAATCTTAGAAGCAGAGCTGAATGAGGTCAAGTCTTAGTCTTTACAGGATTCAAAGGCTGCCACTCCTGTGGCTTGGAATGGAGGCTATTATTTTCTGTTGTTGATTTATGTAGTACCAGCGATGAGCATGGCAAAATTGCAAAGAGACAAACAATACATCCATTTGCACAGCTGTGTAACTGCATTTTTACCCTGGACCTTAAGTAAGAGAGACTATAAAGTGCCATTTGTGAGATGCTACTATAAAGAAAATGGAATTACTTCATCCCAAAATAGTAAGCCTCTCCCTGTTTCCAACAAGCAAGACAATACTGGTGAAGTGCACTGGGGCATCACACTGAGCAAAATTTACTAAAACTGCACCTAGTAGACTACTTTGACCTTACTGACAACAAAAGCTTTACAGGGACTAGGAAAAAAATGTCATTCTCTAACACTTTTGCCAAGTCTCAACCTCATTTATATATATATATACACACACACAAAAAGAGTTAATAAACCCAATAGTGTAGTTTTAGTGCCACCCTGAACAAGATCCACCAAAAGTAGCAGTTTTAGACTTCCGTGTCTTCATAAACAGGAGGACCTATTTGCTTGCAGCAAACCAGAAACCAAGCTGAAGATTAATTATTTCAGGCACTACTATTTAAATACAGTATCCAAAGCTAATTACACAATACAGAAATCAACCAAAACAAACAAAATTTAGAAACCTTACAGAACCCAGCCAAGTTTAACATCCTCACAAGTTATTCTACAGAACTCAGTGACGTAATGTCAAAGCACATTCAGGATTCTTGTTCATTGTCAAAGTTTTCATCAGCTTTATCACTGTGAATTGTTGCTTATCATACTGCAGTGATGGTCTGAAACACAGCCCCTGTCCACGCTGAGCTGCGTTACCGATGACTGCAGCCCGGTCAGGGCCGTCTTGTTTGGTCTGTGTTAGTATCTGTGACTTCTACTCCCATGGCACCCAAGCGGGTGCTGGTCTGTTCCCACCTGTGACCCCATGGATGCCTGTGTATTTTCACTTAGGGCTCCCAGATACTGGAATTTATTTCCTTTGCAGTCAATAGGCTTTTGTTTACATTTGGGACACATAACCAGCAGTGCATTCAGGCTGGTAATCCCCCCTTAACTTTGAACTCCTGGTCAGGTCACTATTTTTTTGTCAGTGGTGAAGTTATTCAGGGCAATGACGACTTTGATCTGTGCTGGTCTTTGACCAGTTTTTGGTTTTAGACCTGTGCATAAATACTGCAGGATACACAAAATATTAAATAGCCAACGAGATCCATTTGTACTCAAGCTTCCGCAGCCATTTCATAAGACACGTACAGTACGTAAGTATGTGCCTACGTGCCAAAAAAAGCTAATACACACTTCTGATAACCTCACAATATCTCACTTTTCTGTAGTCTGGAGCCAAAGGAGGTGACTTGCTGATTAGCAGAGAAATTCTCCTCTGTCACAGGTTATTGGCATTTCGTTTCCATGACAGGCAATACACACAAGTCACTTGTCCTATGAACTCTTGCAGCTTATAATGAAAAAGTCCATAGCTCCATCTTGGGCTAGTCTGCCCCACTTACCTGCTCACTCTGCAGAAAGGGTTAACCTGGGAAGCGGTGAGCATGCCCTTGTGCTATCTCACCTGGATGCCTGCCTCTAGTTCTCAAGCTGACTAACAAAGCAATCCCTAAGCACAGATCCCTGCATACAGCAAGCTCTCTGCACTCTTCCAAAATAAACAGAACCCTGCCACTAGGTATTTTTTATGAGAGGAAGAAAAAAACACAGTGGAAAAAAGGATGTTTCTCCTGCTAAACGCTCAACACAAGAACAAATGAGGCTTTTTCTTTTTTTTTTTTTCCCCTTCAAGAGGGTAGTGATTAAACAAAGGAAGAGTCACAAATTCTGATCTCTAACCAGATATAAGATGCTACGTGGGCAGCTGTGGTGAGAGGGGAGGAAGGGCGTGACTAGAAGGCAAAAAAAAAGAGTAAACTAGAAGATGCTATCTAGCCTGGCATGTGAAGGCACACACACATCCCCGTCCTTGTCTCCAGCACTCCAGAGTGGGAAGTCTCTGCGGTTTCTACACTGTAGATTCCTTAACAGAGACATTTTGCATCATTTTTCCATGCTAACTCTTCACCTCTGGTTAAGGTGATTCCTTAAATACAGTTTTGCACTTAGGCATCTCTCCTTCTTCCTGAGGCCTCAGACCAGCCTCCTTTGGCTCTTTCCTTACTTTGTCTTTATTTTCCTCTTCCTGCGTTTCTCCCCTTCTCTCTGCCCCTCTGACTGGTTGTTCTGAGCTGCTTTTCTTCTAGTTTTCATTCACCACAGCGTGTTTTTACTGCCCACATCTCCTTGTTTCCTCTTCCCATCCATAAGAAGGCTCCATGCTCCTCAGAGAAGGGAGCCTTCTCTAGTCACCTGTCCGTACTGGGCTGCTTGTGTACTGTCATCTGTTCAAGGACAGCTGTAGGAGATCAGCACCTAGGACTAACAAACTATGACCTGAGCACAAACTCACTGCACTTACAACCACTGCAGGAAAGAACAAGGACGAGGGTAAGCTATAAAATCTGTGCATGAAGGCAGGCAGGTCGTGGAACAGCCTCCCAAGTCCCCTGAGACATTACTAGATACTCCACAAAATACCTCAGCAGAAAGGGTAGGAGAGGGGGGAAAAAAAGGGTATCCAGACCTCCTCATTCAAGATGTCACAAGCCAGGCGGATGCGGGACACATCAACAAGGTGGGGCTCAGATTTTAACTTCCTGGAACGCAGGCTCCACAGCTTCACACACGAATTATCGAACCCAGCAGCGAGCAGCTTGCTATTTGGTGAAATCTCTGCAGTGTTCAGCAACTGCTCCGTGTTATAGAAGGCATAGAAACAGATGGTCGTTAAGGAAGGGGGCCCGTCCTTGACACGTTTAATGCTGTCCTGCAGTAAATCCAGCGCCGCCTCGTTCTGCAGAATGGAAGCCGGCACGTCGCTGGGTTCCAGGCCATTGCTCTCGTTGCGCGAGGAGCTCCCACCAGCGTAGAGCTGGTAGTCGGTCCTCTTGGCGGGCTGCACATCCAGGTGAATGTGCAAGGTCAGGACTTTGCACAGGGCGTTGTTGTTGTCACTTTGGAGGTAGCGAAGAAGGTAGTTGTAGCTGTCCTCTTGAAGGCGGATGACGTACTTGTTGTCCAGAAAAGCCCGGAGCTTCAAGTTGGACAGGATATCTTGAATAGTCATGGTAGTCTGCAATTGCTCAATGATATCCTTCTGGCTGGCATTCTGCAAGAACATGCCATGGAAGCGGCTGTAAAAACTGTCCACTGTGCTTTTTAGGCCATTCTGGACCATGTTCAGATGGAGGTAGACGAAGAGGGGATACAGAAGAGGCATCACTTCATGGCTGTGCTGAGAATCTGAATCTACATGAAAAACAGCAACAAACTTTGAATGATTTCTCAATCCACTTTCTACTGGGAGTAAAACAGAGCAAGGACAACTACTGCAAAAAGCCTTGACAGTGGCATCAGAGAGCAAGCAAGAGCAGACTTTTGTTGGTGCACCTAAAGGAACCTCTTCTGTCACCGAAAGGGGATACACAGTACCTGTTACAGATCCAAAGAGAGGTTTTCAAGTCAGTGAGGTATGTTGTCAGAATAAAACGCAGAGATTTCAAAACCCTTTTTAGGTGTGGGCCAGCTATTAAAATACCACCTCAAACTACATGACAGCTGAATCTTTCCCCTATGTATTTAAAAACTATGCCCTCTGTTTATTGCAATAAATGGACTTTAAAATTCACTCATTATATTTAAAATAGTATTTAATGTGTTTAAGTCAAAATTATTTACCTAGCTTGTACCGGGCCTGAACTTTGGTGGCTTTTTTTCCTCTCAGCTTCAACAAAACTTGCATGTGGTGCTTCAGATGGAACTGATTTGTCTCCAGGGAAAAGGAAGCTACAGTTTCCAAAATGTACTGCAATATGCTGTGCTCTTTTTTTATTTCTGTGCCGGCTCATATGCATGCTTTCTCTCTCTCTCTCTCCCCCTCTCTGCCAAGGCAAATCCCAGCAGTAATTCCTAGTACACAGTGTAACAAACTCCCGATTAGGCTGTCCTGTACCTTGCCGAGATTAATCTGTGGAACAGCTCCACCCCTCCTTCACCAGCTTCTCGGGGCTGTTTCCCTGCCACGTTCAGCCAGCTGCAGGGAGCAGTAAGGAGCGGAGCCCTGCAGTAGAACACCATGGCAGCGTACAGGGCCACAACAATGAGTTACTGGAGGCCCAAGTGGTCCAAATTACTGGAACAAAATAGGCACTGCTGATCCCTAAACAGCATTGCTGGTCTTCAAACAGCATTGCTTCTTTTCAGCTTGTTCTTCCCTCCTGTCACTCACCAACGCATACCCTTTTTTCCCTTTTCCACTAGGTTATTTTTCCTCTCCTGTTGAGCACCTGTCCAGACTTTCTCCGGTCCATGCTGTGCCTCTCTTCCATTTCTATATAACTACAGCGTGTGTGTGTGTGGTGTGCAGTATATACATACGTATTTGCATACTTAGGCATCATTCTCCTTTCTGTCCCACTGAAACTGGGCCAAACCCAGTGAAACCAGTGGTCTGGATGTAGTAAAAGCAGTAAGCTGCTAGCAGCTGCTCTTTTCTCTGCAAGCACTCTAGTCCAGAAATGCAACAAGGGGAATGTTCTTACACTACGGTGGGGGAAAAAGGGAAAAGATGGGAATTTGGCAGAGACAGAAATGAAGAAAATGTTCCCCATGAACACATGGAGAGAGGTTACAGAAGCTGGGTCTGTCTGGCCTGGAGAAGATTAAGGGGGTATCTAGCTGCTGCCTTCAGTACCCAGTTGGACATTATGGAGGAAAAGAAGCCAGCCTCTTCTCGGAGGTGCTCAGTGAAAGGACAACAGGCAAGCTGCTGCAAGGGCATTCTCACCAAATCGCTCAGCCCTGCAGCTGGGACCCAGAGCTGTAGGTAGTGCCATCTCCACACTTTTTGATTTTCAAAACCTGGCTGGACAAGGACGTGAGCAACCTGATCAAACTGTGACCTTGCCCTGCTTTGAGCAGGTTGAACTAGAGATCTCTAGAGTAATTCCTCAATTATTCAGTGGTCCTAGGCCCCTGCCCACTCCTCAGCATCCCTGGAGGCAGGCATCACAGGAATGGGAAGTGTCCTGCTGTGCCTTGTGGCTGGCTGGCAAGTTACACACATGAACTGCTTCTGTTTCTGCAAGGGAGTAAGAAATCAAAACTGAGCAAGGGGGACAAAAAAAGATGCAAACAGTCGACATGAACACCAAAACCATGCCTAGCACTTGCCCAAGCGATACTTAAGCCACTGAATACAGAGCAGTCATACTTCTCAAAAATCTATTAAACCACACAAATTTACCGCCAATACTAAAGTGCAGTGGTGTTGGACTGCTCTAGGTGGCAAGCCTGAGACCAAGGCACTCTTTTCCACCTCTGTCTTCCTGCCTGCGTTCCTCCCTTTCCCTTCAACAACTATCAGGAATATTAATCCTAGTGTTATGCACACTGGCATCAAATGCCTACACCGGACAAATGTAGATGTGCCCAAAGGCGGGAGGAGCGGCAACCTCATTTTCCTTGGTACTGTTATCTAAAAATCCTATCTGCTTTCTTCTTCCTGTATTTGGGACTCATAGAAGAACTAAGGAGACTCCCAGAAGTCTTTTTTTTTTTTTTCCTTTTTTAAATAAATAAAAAAAATCATGATTGTCTTCTGCATCACACTACAGAATGAGAATTTTTTCCTTTCTGTCACATACCTCCAGTCTCAAAGCCAGTACAGGTGAATTTAAGGGAACAAATTCTGCCTTAAAAATCTAGACCATCATAAAAAGCAGCCAATTATGAATAAAATTAAAACCCCTAACCTAGGAGACAGCAAAGAACTACGTTCATTTCTGAGTTACCTGCCTTTCACGTAAGACTTTAATCTTCCTTCTTGTCCTGTATATGTATAATGTTGTATAGAAGATCTACACATATATAAAGGCCAAATGTCTGAACAAGAAAGGGCAAACAGACAGCTATCTACAAAAGTCAAAGGTACTCAGCACTCGGGCAACCAAAAAAAAAACCAAAGACAAATTAAATATTTCTCATTGTAGTAATTGAAATCTCAAAACTAGAAATCGAAAAATTGTTAGAGACATGATTTTTAATTTTATTATACTGTCCTTTACTAATTGAAATGACAAAAAATCTGCTACTTTCCTCTTCCTGGCTTCCTGATATTTACCTGTGAGAAAATTGCGTAATCGTCCAAATTGTACTTCATATTGCTGTGGCTCCGCCAGGCAGGGAGCTGCAGACACAACGTTGGCACAACCAGATTCAGATTGGACTGCGAAATAAAATAAGTAAAATTAAGTAAGGATTTAAGGAGTTTTGCATGTACGTCTGGAAGCAAAGCTTCTCATAAAATCCAAGGTAATGCAGCCACCAGGGTGACATTTCATTTTTCAAACTGCCCAGGGATGACATAGTCCAAAGCATCTAAACATGGCATTAACAACCTAGACAGATCACGAATGAGGAAAGTATACCGAAAGCTTAACACACCCCCCCCCCCACAAGCTCAGCAACTCACCTGCTCCAGCCAGAACACATTTTTACGTTTTCAAATACAACCTAAAGTTCCCAAGAAACTCACAAGTAACACTGTCACAGATCCCTTCACACTTTTACAAGATACTCAGCAGTTTTACTATTTTGCACTCAGAAAAGATGAGGAAATGAATCTACAACTTCCTCCAAAACAAAATTTCTTTTTCAGTGGGACCCCCCACCCATCATGGACAGAAGGTCTGCAGCGACACTACTTCAGAGTCTCAAATTCCTTGCCCCAGTCGTTATCATTTACTACAACTTATAACCATTATCATTTGCTAGTCTCCCTGAGGAGGTGGTGGAAACACACCGAAACTCTAAGCAAACACTAGTCTCCTGCTTGCTGAGGATTTTAGGTTAAAGGGCAGCTGGTATCTGACCGCAAACCCAGTCATTACAGTCTCCTAAGATGGTGTTAAACTGATTTTCAGAACCAGTATCAACTCTGGTAAAAGTGGTTCTAAACTATTTAGAAAGGTAACTGGTTTTTCTTTCTCTGGCACCCAACCTTTGCTCTTCTGCTAACCCCTCACTTGACAGGGGACTTCGTGCAAGTTTACAGACACCCACCAACATACCCTAAGCATATACAAATACCAGTGATTACAAACACAAGTTAGAAAATTCACATTTCTAAATTTTAACTAATACGTTAATTTGTTTGCTCTTCTAAGAAAAGCACAAAGGGCAAGGAGTTTCACTCTGTTTTCCTTTCCTAATCTTTTTTTAGTTCCTAACTGTTTTCCCCTCCACAAAACCTATTTTTCTTACTCTCACTTTCAACTCCTTCAGCTTCTTTCAGTCTCCCCTGCCCCCCACCGCTTTCCATCCCCTCTCTTTGCCTTCCTAGTCCTGATTGATCGCTTTTTGTTCCAGCATTTGGCTCGCGCACAGAGGCACAACTCCGACAGCCCTGGAAGTCTATAAACAACATCATCAAATTTTCACACGCTAAAGAGAGATAGGCCAGCCTCCAGCTCCTCTCAATGCTTCTAATTAGAAAGAGATCAGCACATGGTGTACAGGCAGCCTGTCACTATTCTCCCCTCTCTCTGGTAAGACACAGGTCTATTTTCCTGGAGCTTATGGAAATACAGGAGGTATGTTTACCAACTCTGCAGGGCAAGCTCAATTCAGCTTTGGAAACAGAGAGCTGCGCTGTGCTTACCATCCCCTCATGGGAAAAAAACAAATACAGATTCCAGCACCAATACCCTATCTTCACTCAAATCAGTTTCAAAATAAACAAATATAACCTGTTGAAAGGTACAGATACACTGCACTTTCTACAGCCTGCCTGCTTCAGAAACTCAAAGGTGGTAAGAACTCCAGGCTCACATACTGGTATTACTTAATGGCTAACGTAAAAAACTCTGCTATTCCGACTTAAAATTTTAGATAATCAATATTCAGCATAAGAAAGTAAACTGCATGCACGCACATGCAGTAACTCAAAAATGCTTAGTGTTAGCGGCAGTTTTCAATGTCACACATACTACTCATTGTAAAAGCAAAGAAAACCAGAAATACGAGGGCCCGTCTTTTATGCTGTGCCACAGGGTTACATACGAGGGTCAACTCTTCACAGAGTTCTGGTGGCCTCGTTTCAGCAGGTCAGCAGGAACGGGAATGACTTGCCACCTTGCTCCTGCCATGCAAGCACAAATTACTGTCCTTGGCTTTATGAAGTGCTCCTTCCATGCCACGTATTTAACTTTCTCTGTATAAGCAACTTAATTCCAAAATTAAGATGTACTTCATGCTTCAGAAAGAGGAACATCATCTCTGGCTACCTATCCTGGTGCAGTCTGACTGGGCAATCACTATGCCCTACTGTTTCAGTAATGATGCTAGAGCTTATTCCCATCAAACAAATGGTAACCAAACCCTACACACCAGTCAGTTGTAACAAGTGCAAATTCTAATTCTTTTCCTTCCCAAGACTTTACACCAACGAGAACTGCAAACGGGATCAAGAGCTCACCTGATTCCAAAACAAGAGAAGAAATTTTCAGGCGTATTTTTCTCCTGGTGCAAATAAAACACTGGCCATATCCTTCTAATACATTAATAAACCTACGGTACTTTCTTTTCCACCTTCCCCAGTGGTCGTAAGAACATCTATTGGAAACATCTGCTCCTTGACTTCACTTCCAGTAACTGCAGCCAGCTATGCAACCTGACTGCAAATTCAAAGCAACTCACTGCAAACTCAGGGAAATGGACAGCAGCGTCCTGGTCTCATGTGTTGGCTATGAGCAGCATTGCTTCCAGGTAACAAATGAGGAGCTACTGTAAACGCTGTTTCACAGCTACTGATTCCTCTTTTACGTGAGTGTGATGATGTATAATTTTACATTATTTCAGATAGTCCTATGTGTCGATAGTATACTATGGGCAATATTAGAGGAAGCTGTTCCTTAAGTCACTCATTCTGTCCTCATATATTCTTCTAGCGTTGTAGAGAAATATGGGATAGCCACGAGGAAGCTCTGTGCTGTATTTTACTGCAGATGCGATCAGACAGCGTGCTAGATAATCTCATCTGGGCTCCCTTTCCCATGAAAGGTTGGACCAGATGATCTTTTGAGGTCCCTTCCAGCTTGGGCTGTTCCATGATTCTGTGAAAACAGAGCTGTACAGACATAGCAAGTATACGAAGCAACGGAGAAGGGCTGAACTGAAGAGACTCTGGAAGAAGTCAAAAAGAAATGCAGAGGTAAAACTGAGAAACAAAACTATTTAAAACCAAAACGAGAGGACACTCGTCACTGTGAAAGAAGTAGTCACAGAAGTGAAGACAGAAGTAAGCAACTCTCCCATTTATACAGGCTGGTTAATTTAAAAGTCAAACAGAAGAAAAGAGCTGAACAGAAAAAGCAAAGTGAATTTTCTAAGGAACGAGCAAAGACGTCTTCAGAGAAAAATATTTGATCGCTTTCCCCGAAATAAAGCAATGCAGGCTTTAGAATCTAGTCAGTTTTTATTCAGTTTGCCAAACTACGATGACTGCAGCAGAAAGTATTTTCAGCCTCTGTTCTCGGAACAAGTATAAGCTGGGTTTTTCTTTTTCGACAGTCATTCACGGAACTGCAGCATACTCACTGACAGCTTACTATGAGCATGTTTGACAAGAAGCAGTAGTAAGCAGCTGAATACATAAGAGCAGACCATTTTCAGTTCTAACGAAAACTGATGACTAAGTTCTGAATCACCAGCCACAAAACCCATGCATTGGCAAGAGGATACAGACTAATAAGAAATTTAGTAATAGCATTCGGTAGAGGATTAGTAAAAAGACAGAACCCAATCACACACTCATTCACACTCTTTACTGAAACATTTTTTTTTTCCTGTGTGATGCCATACGCAAATGCAAGGGCTTGCAATCCAATTCATGTCTCCTACTTCAGATACTCTTGTGTCCTCCTGGTATGGATCGGTCCCACGTTCTAATCCCATTTCGACACTGACCTTTCTATCCACTTCTCCTGTAAAATCTCCTATCAAAAACAATTCAGCATTTTACTTTGGTTTCATTCCTTCCCCATCTCCCCCAGTATTATTTCAGGGAGTTGCAACAAACTTCCGATAGTTACTCTGAAAACAGCACGGAAATGAAAAGTACTAAGAAGATGTAAGTTACTTCTCATAATGAAACGTTACCCAATTTCCTTCAGGCCCCTGAGAGAGTCAGCCTGGACATTCACCCACAAGTCACTCATCTTTGGATTTTAACTATGGCAAAACACTCTAGAGGTGGAAAGAGCCATTTTGACATCCAATCTTATCTAGCTACAAGCACAGTTATACAGCAGCTAATGTTTTATCAAATCAAGCTGTATCACAAGTAACTAAGGTCTTCACCACTCTTAGCCTGGGGCACTGTCACAATCTACACAGTTTCATCAACAGAAAATATTTCCTCCTTGCATTTTCACCCAAAGGTCAGCCTGGTATTTTCTATTACTTTTACAAGTAAATTTAATCTTTGTAACCTCCACATTGCTTGCACCCTTTCAATATTTGTACATGCTCAAGCAGTAGCGTAGTTTGTTATCACAAAAATAATAATTACAGTGAAGACTGTCACAGACAGGATTTGAAAAGCAGGTAGTGTAACAGGATTCAGAAGCCTTTAAGACAGAGGAGAAAGGGAAATGCAGGGAGATAAACTGTCTCATCCATTGAAGGGGTTTTTTTTCAAGTGACAGAGCAGAGCTTTCACAACTAGAAAGCTGACTAGGCCAGAGAAAGAAACAGCCTGTATCACTTCCATTTCACATGATAGAGTTCTCCTGGAGTACAAAGGTACAACAGATTTTCCTCCTTCTACTTAATTCCTCATCTAGGTTCTTCTCACTTCCGTCCCAAAGCTCCACTACTCACCAGACTTCACGTTCTTTGGGATACAACATACACATTTTCCACTATCCTGACTGGGTATTTCAGCCTGCTGTTTCACTGACCGTGAATCTCACCTTGTAACACTTTAGTCCACATTTTAATTCTTCAAAAGTTCATAACTCACGCCAACTTCACACTGGGAAATTTCTTTATTTCAAAAGGAGAACTGTCCATACGTGCAGACAAATTCACATAGTTACCAATATACTTACTCACACTTGTCACAACTCTTCCAAGAAGCACGCATGGAAAATATGATAGGATTACCTGTGAGATTAGCTGCCATCTCTTCAGCAGTCTGACACAGCCTCAGCCCTTGTTTTAGGGGACCTTCCGAGTCCACATACTGACGGCGCTTGAGGTAGCAGGACACTGCCATCTGAATCTGTTCTGTGCGTACGCGTTTCATGACCTCAAAAGAAAAGAGATGATGAGGCTCTTGCTGTGCAGGTATACACTAAGATCAACATACACCATAGCTGTACTAAAACTGGTAGAAGACAAACGGCTCAGTATTTCCATTGCTGAAGTCAAACACCTTCATTACTGAAGTATGAAACAAAACCTTTAGGCATTTGCCTTTCAGTACTAAGGCGTAACTAGACACTTTGAATCAGATCCCTGAAGATATTTTGCTGCCTAATTCTACTAATTTCATGGAGGAATCAAAAACACTTTTGAGGATTCTGGACTGAAACTGCAGTGGTGAGCTGAAGCATTTGTTTTTGTTAAAAACAGCTCACAAAAAGGGAAAGCTTCTCCTCCTTGCTTTTTTACAGCAGCAGTTCAGGTATTCTTCAGTCATTTTCTGATTCCTCTGCTTGACCAACCAACAAAACCATTCCAGAAGAGTCAAGGGAATGACAAATTAATATACAAAGAAGGAAATTTCAGAATAATAATGCTTTAAATAGGACACCTATCTGGGGAGTCCAAGAAGCAACAGCTTATCACCGGAACTTAAAGGTCAGAGCCAGACTTCTGCCGCTTCAGTCAGGTAAGTTCCCAGGAAAAAAACCAGGGCAATTACAACAAAAGCAAAGCCTTCTGCCTTTTTCACGTGCCCCCATTTATCTAGACTTCCCTCCTACAAAAGTTAAAAAAAAAAAAATCCGTTGAAGTTTCCTTTATATAAATTTTAAAAGCCCTCCTCACAAACACCACTTGGTAGTATCTCAAAACCAAAAGGAGCCCAATGCTAGCTTTTAGCTTCTGGCTTGTAATAGAGAGCCTCAGTAAGATGAATGCAATAGCTCCCTTGCTCTTTGAGTAGTCCCTGACTGCCACCAATCCTTTGCAATAGCCATCGATTTTACAGAGAAGTTTAGATAACCTAAAAGGCTTTAAATAAAGCAGAACTAAGTAAGTTTTATTGTACCAGAATAATAGGTGAAGCCTGCCTCAAAATAGTTCTACACCTTACAGCCCCGCTACCAATGACCTGCATACATTTTACAAGTGCACATGCTTTCTGGTTTGAGTAGCTAAATCTGATGAAACACAGCTGCTCAGAAACAGACAAGGATGCCCTTCCCCCCCTTGTAAGAACCGTATTTCTAACGAAATGACAGCTTTAAAAATATGATCATAAATGAGCCTTTTCTAATACCCATGCACACTTCAGTGCTTATCCCAGTCGTTAGAACAATAAGCCCTCTGTGAAGTTCCAAGCGGACGGGGATGCAAGGTTTCAGCAAAAGTTACTTTAAACAGATACGTGGAATTGCAAACCCAAAGCATAGCTTTCGCAAAAACCTTAAAGAGATTTCCATTTGTTCTCACAGGTGAAATAACTGTTGAGGGTGGGGAAGGGGCATCAACAGGTGTGGAGTTTTCAAAGCTTTTCCAGATAGACCCATTAAAATCATGAGTTTCAACCACAACTTTTTCCACTCCAAAAGCAAACTTCCTTTTCATCTTCCTTGCAATTAAAGAAATTATATCTGAGACTTACGCTGTCTCAAATATAACACTTTTTCTGTTGCACAAAACTGTAGGAAAGACAGAATTCTAACAAAGACCATGAAGAAGGGTGGACACAGGGATGGACCAGCATCTTAGCACCCTCTTAAACACCCTTAACTAAACTTTGCAACGTATTACATTACCATTCTGCATTTCAGGTAGCAGTATGGACTCACATACAGGCGATTTGCTCAGGTCCACACTAACGCCTGCGCATGCAGTCTGCCTTACAGCTTAGGCCTGGGTAGCAACTTCATTATATTTGAGATGCTGTCATAGATGCTTATTTCAGGTCTAGAAACCATTTTGGAGAGACTGCATCTAAATTGTTGTATTTGGCTTATAATTCAAAAGAAACTCACTTCCAAAATGGCACAGAACAGATTCAACTAAATGTTTCTGAAGTGGTTTAGCCAGTCAAAACTGTGCAAATCGGCCTCAGGTCTGTGGTTCAAAGAGCAAGCATCTAGAAATATCCTTGCCCATGCTTTTTTGCTTCAGTTACGGGATCAATTTGTGCAAGGTTACCTTTGGTGAGAAAATCCTTATTCATTATGGGACAGCATGCAAGTACAGGTAAGTCCTCATAATGGATCAGAGAAACCAAAAACTGGTGTGTGAAAGATGCAGAACTCCAGAGGATCCCTTGAAGTGACAGTGATAAACAAGAGGAGCACTGAGATCAGCCTTTTCAAGCTGCTGAACGAGCAGGTGACCAACAGAGAAAATGGTAAATTTTAAATGATAAGCAAAAAAAGCAGTAGGTTACCCAGCAGTCTCAAATTTAACATCAGGACCGGACATTTCAGCAGCAAGAGAGAAGGGCCTGGGAAAGGAGCGGTCGCTGGCAGCTGATTCAAATCCAAGCTTTTTCAGAGCTTTGGGGATAACAGGGAAGCCCCAGTTTCTTCAGCCAAGATTAGCTACGTGGCATTTGCAGCTGCTTTATACAATCTGTGCAGCTTCTTGCTCCCTTCACATACCTTGTATACTCCTCCCAGCAGTCACAGTAGTGGATCTCAAGGAGATTTCTTTCCAAACAGGAACTACCTTACAGGAAACGCATCTACACCAAGAAACACCCATGGGCATCAGACACACTATCACCCCTACTTTCATTTCAGGTGTTTGTTTCTTTGTTCACTTTGCCTTTATACTTCACCCCCAGCATTACAAAGAGCAATGTCACAGGAGCAGGGAAAGCGTTCATGAAAAGTGCAAGAAGAGCAAAACCAGCATTCCTACAAATATTCTTTACCAAGCCCTCAAAATTAGTGTATATCATAAAATAAACATAAGGACGGCCTGCCGAAATGCCTTTAACTAGGTTCAAGCTGAGACCCGTTCACAACAGGTCAACGATACAGAATTTAAAGGCAAAAAAGGACAAGCCTGCCATTTTAACCTCCAATCAATTTTAAGACTCTAGCTCTCATTGCTGAAGATAATCTCCAAAACATGAAGCAAACTGAAGGCAAATAGCATTCCCTGTCCATGCCTGCAGAAAGCTTGAAACAATTGTTCCGAAGTCCCAGCTGCCTCGTTCTTCTCAGACAGCCAGAGAGGACAATAAATACTAATGTCATGAACTACTTTTACTGATAAGCAAAATACATAAGGAAGGAGAGAGGAAAGGTCACATCAGGAGTCTGCACAGCTACAATGCAGCGCCTTCTGCAGTGTCAGAAATTGGAGCACAAAAAAAAAAAAAGGATATTAGGTTAACTTTTTTTTGAGGAACCCAAAACCCAGAGAGACTGATCATACAAAACACATCACAAGTTCCTCTTTCCTAGGAAAGCTGGAAATTAGTTGTATACTAAGGATTGGGCCAAGGAAATTAATTTCCTGCCTATGCTACATCTCAGGTACAGGTTTAGGCAGATTCCACGGCCTTGAAATATTACCAGCAGACGTACAAAAAAGAGCTTGAAAACTAGTGTTGGAAACGCTACTTTTAAATACTCTGCATTCCTGTCCTGATGGTGGGACAGCAGTCTCTTCCTTCCAACAGACTGAGGAAAGACCTGTGAGCATCAGAGAAGAACCAAGGATAAGCAATCTTAAAAAAAAAAAAACCCAAACCAATAAAACAATCCACAAAAAGCACATTTTGAATATTCTCTACCAAGAACTGTGTCTCAGGCCTCAGTTGTGGACAGAGAAGTACCGTCTTTTATCTCTTATCACTACAGCTGAAATTTGGAGTCTACCAACAATACTAAACCACTTAATTTTTAATTTTGTGACATTAAGTTAATCTAAGATTACAAAGTTTCAGAATAAACCAGATAAGGATAAACTGATACGAAGCTCAGAACCTAGAGCTGAGAGACTTCACACATACAGCGGCTGCAGTTGAGAAGAACGGGCACGTAAACACGGCAAGTTGACATGGAGACTCGGCGCGGCGGTGGTGCAAAACAGGGAAAGCGCTGCAGACAGCGGGGACTACGGAGAAGGCTTTTGCCTGAGCAGGCGAAGGAAAGGAAACAGCTGTGATTTTAGAAGAGCCTGTATCCATTTGCATCGGACCTCGATTTGGCTCACCGTCCACGGATTAAGCTTCGCCAATTCCACAGCGTTGGGTTTTCCCCCCCCTCCCCGAAGACAGCGCGGTTCGCCCGTTTCGCCCTGCTGCGCGCCGCCCCGGCGGGACAGGCTTCGCCCCCGCCCGCAGCACGGCACCT